TGATTAAGTGAATCGATGGCTTGCAGAGTCGTTGGATAAATTCATAGGTAGTAATAGTGCTATGTATATAGTTTAAATAAGAGAAGTAATATAGTTGTGAAAGAGTGCCAAATATCTGCTTCGGAGTATCTAGACAAACTAACCACGAACTCTGCCCATCGGAATGTGCCTTAGAAGGAATTCTGCTCACTGTTTACTTTCCAGTTCTGCATTTGGAACTTTGCGAAAACTGGGGTGCAAGGGATCTGATCGGACTGAATGGTCTGGAGTTGCTCGGCAATCGACAGAGTGTCATTGATCCTTCCACAGTCACGATCTCTGCCAGTGGCCAGAGCGATCCTCAAAGGTATGTTGGTTGAAGAAGCTGCCTACGTCAAATTCTTAGGCTTTGCAAATGATGTTGTTAGGCTTCTGAATGGCAAAAATCTCACTCGATCTCCCGAAGATGTTTGGTTAAGCTCATTCGAAGCTAATAGCACAACAACAATCACCATCAACTTTTCAAAACCTTCTGAACTTACTGGTATGTACTGATGAGGAATACGCATAAATAGTGGCAATACAGTACAGTACCCACCCTAATTTGTAAAAGAAAAACACGAGTAAGTGTATTTCCATCTTTTCCCATAGATTAACTTTTCACATTTTCTCGTCTCACAGTTCAACTCAGCTCGTCGAGCTCTAGAACGTGGTCAGTTGCAACCTGGGAAAGTTCAGTTATTAGCTCCTCAGTCCATCCTATTCCTGGGCATACGTCAATGGAACGACGCTGACTAAATTATAATGGAAAGGCATCGGCTATAATTATAAAGAAAAAGTTTCCATGGTAACTATTCAATGAGTTGTGGGGTAGTAATCAATTTGACATCTCTCAGGTTGTACTAATTATTTCAATGCGACTTTTTTGAAAATGGTTGAGTCCAAACTCAAACGGCAGTGGCACCTTGAAAAGGAAATAGCAAATATAAGTCAATTTTTAGTCTTTAATAAATGCCTATACTTCGAAAGTAGTACTTCTGAAGATATCGTTCTCCGAAACCTTTTCAGGGCACGTTTTTACGAAGAGTTTGCAAGTGTGATGCCTGCGTCAAAGAAAAAAATTCTATTGTCTTCCGAAACCCGGACAGGGCATATTTTTACAAAGGGCATGCGTTTTTTTGCCTTCTCATATAAGATTTCTCTTGTTCAGAAAGGAGTTATACACTTCATCGAAAATATTTACATATATTGAAGTCAATGCAAACGTTCACTAGTTGCAAGAAATAGTCGCTTGCATAGAACTTCGGACCTCATAAAGATTTCCTGCATATTACCCCAAAACGCAAGAGACTAAATCTCAATCTGTCCATATGTCGCAAAAATGCATCGTGAAAATTCAAACCGGAAAACTGCTCAGTAACATGAAAGCCACGTTACGGATTCCACTTCCTATTAATATCTCCAGCGCTGAATTTTTACTCTGTCCGATCACTCAGCCACCCAAATAATCATCTTACTCAAGCGACCGCATTCACTCAATACTTTCAATGGAAGTCGATGCTTTCTGACTTCAGTTACAGCCAGCGCTGCTGTCAACTACGTGACCTCAGAAAAATTGACGGAAACAAGCTTTCAAAATCGAATTTTTTTGAATTTTCAACAACCACTTTGAAGTGCTCGACGAGGTGAGTTGAGTTGTGAAAGTGAAAACTAACCGTGATATAAAAGAGACGAGAAAAAGCCAGTGATGTTTTTCTCAAGATATATTGAACACTTAGGGTTGGTATTGTAGTAATGACATATGATCCCTTAGTTACTTACTAATTGGTAGGTATTTCTTTCTGGAACTACAACGTTTCACCAGAGATGTCTTATGCTGGTGTTCGTCTTTTGCACATATTCATCAATGGGCGATTGATTGCCAGTAATGTGCTTCTACGGAAGGCGCCAGGTACATTTCATACCTTTGAGAGCAGATAAGGTGGAGAGAGGTAAAACTTTCAGTTGAAAACCATGAAACGAATATTTCAGGTTATGTATTTTTCGACTTCGTTCAGGATGTCTTCATAGACCGCCCTACTACAGCTCGCCCATTGACTCGTCCGATGACAAGCTCCATCTACGGATGTGAGTGGTTGTTAGCACTGTATTCCACTTAAGCAGAACCTACTATCACTTCATTTACAGTCATCTTCCAACTGCAACTGCTCAGCTCTTG